ATAATTAGTTAATTTGTTTATCAACTTCTCTGTGAGTGGTGTCTCATGAGAATGGCAATAAGTTATCAACAAAATAAAGACCATGCATTCTTTTTTACACATTTAAGTTGTAGCATTATGTAAATTTTCAGTTTGTTCCATATAAGGATTATTGCTCTAATCATACAACAAAAGTGTCCCTTGGAGAGGCTGGCTAGAATTATCCTGGTAAGATAACCACAGCTGAGCTCTGCTCTTAGGCACTTAATTTTATCAACACACCGAGAATGAAGCAAATTCAGATTAGTTGCTATGTGCCACCCATACATTAACTTATAATGACATCATACAAATTTATAATGAGAGGTAGAACCACCAGAAAGAGTAATTCTCATCCCGGGATCACTGGTCCTGTTATTTTTCAATAGTTTGTTTAATTCCAACAACCAGAGCAGAGAGAGTCAGTCAAGTGTAGGATGTTAATGGCTTTTGTCATCCATCTGTAATAAATAGCCTGGTGACTACATATCTAATGAAGGGAATTTCCTATATTGGATAAAATATCTTCTTGCTGGTTTGTTGCAATAGTTAGGCTTCCAGAATGACATTAGACAGTGATCCTGAATTCTGGTTGCATCTTAGAACTGCCTGTAGAGCTTATTAAAAATACAGTTGGCAAGTCGTCATTCACACCTAGTGCATCAAATCTTCAGAAGCATCAGCAATTTTTAAAAAGTTTTACAGGAGATTCTGGGTCCTGAAGGAGAGGTGAGAATCCAGAACCACACCATTGCAGTGAGGTCACAGCAATCACTGTAGGCTGAAACTTCTGGTGATGGATTCAGTGCTTCTGTTCCAGGATGACTGAAATAAAATTCTGCCCAGGGAGCTAACACTCTACTCCTCAACAACAATCCTACATAGAGACACTCATACTGGAAGGCAAGTGAATAGTGAATACATTCCCAGAATTCCTGTAGAGGTTTGGAGTTGTTTCAAGGCAGATGTTTAAAGACTGAATAATAGCAACAAGAATGATGGCCAATTTCATTGAAAAAAACATTTCTTACGTCCGATCAGATGTTTGACAGACAAATAATTGTTTCCCAGGATACATTTTCTTATTTTTCCTTTTAGTACTAAACTACATTCAAGTATTCCAGATTCATTGCCTTAAATGTGTCCTTGTCACTAAGTTCTGGCCCGTGTGAAATGAGCTGAAGAAATGTGAGCAAATCCCTAGCCATGCTCTCTTCAGAGGAAGCTGGCTTTCTCCTGCTTTGTTCCACTCCCATGCACTGGAATGTAGATCTGTGGCGAGCTGGTTGCAGTCATCTAGACAAATACCACCTTAGAGTTGGGAAATGATGGAGTGGCAATGTAGGGGTATAGAGCAGGGCCACCTTCCCACCCTGGACGAATTGCCTCCCCCACGATTGTTATGCATGGGAGAAATAAAGTTTTATGTGTTTGAGGTACTATATTTTAGGAATCCTCGTTGTAGCAGATTCCTCTGTACCTTAAGTGTGACAAAAGCTATGGGACCAGTAGCCTTACATCTTCACTTACTTGTAGATTTCCTTTCACTATAACCTTCTCCAAAATTCTGGGGTCAGACTTTTAACAAATGAGAAACTAGCAGATTTTCAATGCTCACTTTTTGAAATATTCAACCTAATATTTTTAAGTTGCAGTGGATCATGACAGTTATATCTCTTACTGAGTGTTCAACACCCTGCTAAAGATTAACAAGGGAATGTGTGCCTCACATTGGAACCAAGGCCTCAGTCTGTCTCCCTCTGCCTTTTCTAGAAAGACTCCATCAGACCCTCATACCTTTATCACAGAAAGGTGCAGAAGGTACGAAGGTGCAGATAACGGAAAACACTCACTGAGGACTTAGTTCCCGTGTGTTAACAATGCCCCTTAAACTTGCCCTTAGCTGACATCACCATTCCTCCTGGTTAGAGGACTCTTTATGTCCTGTCCTTATTCTCATCTTCTCTCTCTACTCTTGTCCGGGAAGAAGACCTCTTTACTCTTGTTTTCTCCTTGAAATTCCTCTTTCATATTCCCAATTGTCCATCTGACCTTAGAAGTGCTCCCTCTATTTTGATATTTCCTTCACGAGCTTCTAGCCCAGGTTTTCCATCATGAAATACCAAAAACCTGTTGTTCTTCCATCTTGCCCAGGCATTACTATTGAGCATATACTGAAGTGGTAAATTGCTTATGTTTACTGCTAATGAATACAGTTTAATAAGAGAAAGAAGGTAATCTTCAACAATTGAAAATGTCAAATCTTAACATTTTGAAATAAGATTTTGGAATTAAGTAAGCACATTTGTCACTTTTATCACTGTGAATGTCCTTGTTCTCTTGAAGTTTATATTCTTGTGGTTGGAAAACAGTCTCAGAATCCTGTCTTGTGAAAAAGGTGTTTCTGAATTCAAAATATCATTTGGATAACCTATTTTACTTCTTGTTTTGGTAGAACTAGAGTCACTTTCCGGGGTTTCTATGTTACTGAAGGTATTGTCTTTGACCCTGAAGAAGAACTTGTTATTTACTACCTTTGTAATCTTCCCACCATAAAAACTGGGTGGAATATTTATCTCATACTCAATGCAGGTTATAGAAAGTACCAAATAAAATGAGTAAAAGATGAGCCATTTCTTTCTTGTGTTTCTAAAAATATGGTAGTTAATAGATGTCGAGATCCTATGTCTCAGAAATCTGAAGGAGATCCATCTCAGGGAGAGAAGGAAAAGAAAGATTTGGATAAAATGTATGATCTCATTGCTGACCTTAAATGTATGGATCAGGACAAGTGAAAACTTATTTCTGGGCAAAGAATGGGCAGAAAATATGACTTCTTTACTTGTGACATGGAGCTATGGTGAAAGAGTATACAAAAACACTTTGAAATCTTTATATTATAGAGAAAACACAGTGTGAGGTATTGTGACTGCTATGTATATTATAATGTTAGAATAAGAGTTCTTAGAGGCTCTGAGCTAATCAGAAGTATTAATTCAATTTTGCACCAAAAATATGCAGGGGCAAATGAATAAGGTTCAACTTGGCATCATGAATTTTATTCAACAAGGAGGGATAGTTACACAGGGATAGTTACAAGCTTTGGTTCCATTACCCCCCACCACACTGTCATTTGAGAATATTGTGCTAAATAGAGGGAATAGGAGCAACTATAGTCTCTGCTCACTGGACTATACTCTTCTGTTCTTTACTTATCCAATAACATCATGTACATCATAAATTTTCAAAGGAAAATACCAATTGGGTTTATTTTGGTTAGGAAGCAAAGAGTGTGCCTAATTTTTTTCTTGCTTTTGCAAATGCTGTTGCCTACATTCTTTCACTAATAACTAAAACTGAAAATTAATGTTGCATCACCATTTCACACCACATAGGATGGCTATTTTGAAAAAAGAGAGAGAGAGAAACTGACAAATGTTGGTGAAGATTGGAGAAACCGGAACCCAAGTGCACTGCTGTTCGGGATATAAAATGATGTAGCTGCTATGGAAAGAGTTTAGCAATTCTTCAAAAAATTAAAAATTGTTAAAAATTGGATTACCATATGACCCAGCAATTTCACTTCTAGGTGTCTTGGTATACAATAAGAGAATTGAAAGCAAGGACCCAAACAGATATTTGTACATCCATTTTCATAGCAGCATTATTCACAATAGCCAAATGGAAGCAACCCAAGTGTCCATTGATGGACAAATGGGTAAACAATAGGTGGTAGATACATTCAATGGAGTAATTTTCAGCTTTGTAAAGGAAGGAAATTCTGCCACATGCTACAATGTGAGTGAAACTTAAAGACATTATTCTAAATGAAGTAAGCCAGTCACAGAAAGACAAATATTATATGATTCCACTAATGTGAGGCACCTAGAGTAGTCAAATTCATAGATACAGAAAGCAGAATTGTGTTTTCTGGGGGCTGAGGGAAAGGGGAAATTGGGAGTTACTACTTAATGGGAGTTACAATTTTATTGTTTAATAATTTGATTTTATGAGATGAAGAATTCCTTGAAATGGTGGTGGTGATAACACATGTGATTCACATTATGTGGTGATTCATGCAGCAATGTGAAGGCACATAATGTACACTTAAAAATGGCTAAAATGGTAAATCTTGTGCTATGTATATTTTAGCACAATTGCAAAAATTAATGTTGCACCATCTCAAAGGACTCTAACATAGAGAATAAACTGTGATGTAAATCAAGGTTATGGACAATGTTCATCTTATTGGTTTGACATCATTGAGGAGAGGGTCCTGATAGAGACTGGGCCATAATCTTGAAATCTTACAAAGGGGAAATCCAAAAATTATAGTTTTGATCTATCTTAGGGATTCCACTGTGTAAAGGATCTGACTTTCTTATGCAATATTAGATAAAAGGAACAATCTGCATGAATAGTCCTTGTGGTATTTCCATGACTCTAATTCTAGAATGTGTATGGATTAGATCATTTATCTGGAGAGAAGGAGATGCACTGTGATTATTTTGTGCCTTAATTATTGTACTATACCATACTCTCATAAATGTATCGCCCATTGCATAACCCCAAGATGAAGAGATGAACATGACCCAGATGAGTTGGTCCATAACCCAGACCCAGGCTAGCTTATGTGAATAACCTCTTCAACTGATGTACAGGAAGTTGTCTGTTAGAGGGTGTCGAGGAGATCCCCAAAAGTCTGATGGGATCCTCATTCACTCAGACATTACAGTTAAAAGCCATGAGCTTTCAAGTGAATAATGGTATCTAGAGGCTCAATTTTCTGGTGTTCTTTCCTTAGTCACTGAAACAGGGTCTGGCAGCCCTTGGCCCTAGGTCCTTATTCACATTAACTGATTGATAAAGTAGGACCTTAGTTCTGAGTCTGAAGACAAGCATAGGGAAAGGGAAAGAGATGAGCAGACTGAAATGTGAAAGAACAGCAGACACTCTCCCTACCATCCCCTATCACTGCTCCTTAACCCATTTCAGTCAGTTACAGGGAATAATAAAAAAAGACATTAAGGGATTTCTTTTAATTATTACCTAAACTGGATAAATAGATTCAAGGGGCTTTGAGTTCTTTGTGTTTCATTTGTTTCAAGTTGTGCCACAGAGAAAAATAACTTCAAACCCAGAAACCCCACATAACCATCCTGGAGACACTTGACAAGTTCAATTCACTTTATTTCTATTGAACTGGAGATTTGCATGAACACAGCTTTGGAGCACACACGAGGCAATTGCTTCCTCTTCCTCTTGGTGCTGGGTATTCTTTCCCTACAGGCATCTATCCTCATGACACATTCAGAATGTGCTGAATTACATGACCTGTTTGAAATCACATCTCAGAGCACTGTGAACCTAGCCCATGATGCCTGTGTGGTGTCAGGGGAAGGAGAGAAGGAGGCAGGTGATTAAAATGAAATGATCAAATTTACCATTCTCAATTGTGACCTGTAAGGATCAGTACGGAGGTTATATCCTCCTGCTCTAACCTCTTAGGGAGCGCTTATCTAGCATGGTTAAAGGCTGATACCTTCCTGGTCCATGAGGCTTTTCTGGTAGTGATTTATTACCATAATACCATTTACATGAACAGGAACAATTTCTTTGATATCATTTTGCCATCGACAAGTGATCAGGGCAAATCCTTGCATGTAAGCAGATGTGTATACACAGTCTGACATCAAGTATCCTTCCGTTAAATTACAATACAAGGCTTCTATGTATTCCTTGCTCCTGTGACATTTCTTAACTCCATTCTTACATTGCACAAACAGGTTGTAACAGGCCTGTTGCAGCTTCTTATATGATATTAGGATGAAGAAATGTTCTTTGACACAGTGGAACCTGTTGTGGACATTTTTCATCTTTATTTCATCATCATAGTAGCTTGGATCAGTCAGTGGTCCTCCAGGAGAAATGATGGTAAGCCTTTGGAAACTTGTTTTGATAGGTGGCTTGGTAGGCCCTGTACTGTCCAATTCCTCCAAATAATCTTCAAATTCTTCTTCTTTAGCATCTGCGTAATCATAGAACAAATGTGTCCCTTGAAGCTGCCGTGGCTGCTGCAGCAGGAGTAGTGCCAGCAAGCCGGAGCCCGAGTCGCACAGGCAGGGGCCGAGTGGCAACGAAGTCCGCATGAGCCCCTGCGGGGGAGCACAAGGGCAAATGGGTTCCGTGGTGATACCGGGCCTGCCTCTGTTACAGGGCAGGGTCCATTCTACCGTCCGTGGCTATTCGGACTTCTAAGACTTGGGGCCATTTTTAAATTGACAACTGAGAATCTATTTAACTATTTGTGAAATACTGACCTAAAAGTGAGCTGACAAGATCCACCGTCAGTCTAGAGGGCTATGGATAAGAGAGGGAGAAGTGAAGGGAGGAGGGAGGGAAAAGGAGAAAGGGAGAGAGATCAAGGTAAAGAGGGAGAAGGGAAAACAAGGAAGGAAGCAGGAAGAGAGCAAGGGAGAGATGAGGGGCAGGAGGGAAGGAGGAAGGAGGTGCAGACAGCAGCGGGGAAAGAGGGAGAGAGGCAGGGGAGGCGCACATGCTCCCGCCTTCTGAAACAAACGCATCTGTTCCTTTCTTAGGAGTTGAGACCGTGCCCTGAAAAGAGCCGTAAGTAATCCGCTCTCCCTCATTAACATCCTGCAGTTGGGAGGAAAATTCTTCATCTTACGACTCCACTCCACTCGTATCCCACCACAGGTGCCTGTGGAGAAGGGATCAAGGAAGGCAGGGTCACATGAACACCCGCGGCTAAGCTTCCTTGAGTGTGTGCTTTTATCGCTGCTTCACTGCCTTCAGCTGCTTGGTGCCTTTGGCAGCCTCCTCTGTCACCTCTTACCTCTCAGAATAGCTCTTTTGCCGAGATGCATCACTAACTTTGTGTTTTTTTCGTTATTATTTTTTCTGCCCTTAGATAGATTCATGGTTTCTGCTAGGACCAGGTTTTCGCATCCCTAAACTCTCTTGTCTTGTGTGCCTACCTGTAATTATAGTAACCTCCCATCAGAGACTTCCAGGCGCTACATTACTGCCTTCCCCATGTGTCTCACCCCTATTCTCCCCATGGTAGGAGGCACCAATATTTCCCTAACCCTTTATGTGTGTGTGAGCAAGTGTTTTTGCTACAGAAATGTATGAAAGGATATACTGAATGACTTACATTTGCAAAAAATGGTATCATTTTAAAATGAAATGAAAACATTTAATTTGGTACATATTGATGAGGACCATTATAACAACTTCCCTTGCAAGACCAGGAGCAGTAGTACCACGTGACCCAGAAATTGTGCCCAGTGGCTAGACCTCAGGGCACAGTCTCTTTAGTGGCACAATCTCTTTGAAGATTATTTGGAAAGGATCATCTTTCCTACAGGACTGCTGGGCCTATTGATCATTTTCCATTCCTATTCCAAATCTGACTATTAATTATTACTTCTCCAGTGAGGCTTTCTTCTCAGGGAGAGGCAAGTACCTTAGGTACACTGGGGAGCAGTCTTCTCACCTATCTTTACCCAAGGCCTCCTTCCCTCATTCAGTCCTTGTGTTGCCTGTGCTTCAGAGAATGGGTGTTTCAAGGGCTGGGCTGGAGAGATGCGGATAGTGGGGATATCAGCCTCTCTGGGTAGCACAGGAGCTTGGAGTAGGAAGGGAGAAAAACAAGTCTGAGCAGCTGAAATAAATACATTCTTGGAGTCACCCTAAAATAAAACTAATAAACAATAATGGCTAACATAATGGGCAATTATGTGCCAAGCTCCATACATATATTATCATTATCATCATACAAATAATCTTATGGTAAAGACATTATTTTAGCATAGCTTCTGTTTTTGTTGTAATTAATATCTCTTTGTGAAAGGAGGTTGCTTAAAAATCTTACATTAAGTCTGGCAGAATCCTGGTTCAAGTCCAGGTCAGAGCTCTGATTTCTACATCTCTGCTCTTATGCCTCCATCAGTCTAGTTTCCCTTCTTGAGACTAGGTTCTACCTCCTTCTCTTGGCTGTCTTCATAACTCTTTGAGACTAGGCTAAGAGAATCAGAGGCCACCAAAGTGGCCAGAATTAGGCCACTTTGTCTGAATTGTCTGTCACTATAGTGCTGTGATGAACTGGTCCACGTGTCATGAAGCCTAGCTGTGCTGTTGAAAAGCAATTTCCTGGGTTTTCTTACTCCACTGTGCTCTTGGTGTACGAGAAGTCCCACCACAAGGCCACCAGAGTGGTTCTCTAGTTGGTAGCCCAGACACCCAGACCTACCTAGAGATGGAGATGGAAAGCCTCTGATTCCAGGTTGAATCCAAATGTGTTTATATGTGAGTAGAAACGTTCTGAGAATGGTGGAGTTAAAGAAAGGTGGATGTTGGGGACAAACATCAGAAAGTGGAGAGAATAGGAAAATTGAGGATAAGAGGTCCGAGAATGGGACAGGAAAGAAGTGCTCTGCACTGGTGATACGAGCGCGAGCACACTTGGTGTGGCCGTGTCCGCGAGCGGGGCCTCCATCGTTGCTTTCAGACTCTCCTGTCTCCGTGAGGGAGCCTCTTCAGAAGAGTGATGCTTCTGCGACAGTCCAGGGAGCTCAGTGCACGTTCCCACGGATGTCCATCTCCAGCCTTGGTGGCCTCTTGGGCTGAGAGAACAGGACAGCACGTGCGTGGGCAGCAGAGTGCAGCTCCTGCTGAGGACACGCACCTGCGCCTGCCCAGGAAGGACACCTCTTCCGTGTTAATATCCTCAAACTTTTAAATCTTTTAATAATGAACTCAACTTATGGTTTCATACTTTTCGAAAGTCCTTTCTCACCCTCAAAGTATATGCATTTTCACTTCTATACCATTTTATTATTTTTTTGGCTTTTTAAGTCTTTCATCCATCTGAAATTTATTTTGAAGCATAGATAGAGGTAGTTCCTTTTTTTTTTTTTGAGAGGGCATCTCTCATATCTATTGATCAAATGGTTGTTAACAATAATAAAATTCTGTGTAGGGGACTCAATGCACAATCATTAATCAACCCCAAGCCTAATTCTCAAAAGTTTCCAATCTTCTGAAGCATAACGAACAAGTTCTTACAGTCTAGAAACATATGGACAAGAGGGTATTTTACAAAGATTTTTGAGCCTCTAAAACTACTCACAGATTCAATAATTAACTACACAGGAGCCATAAACCTGTAAGATATAAAGACTGCCCCCTAGCACATATCCAACACCTAAATTTATTTTATTTCTTACCTCAACAAATATCCCTTGAGTGCCTACATGCTTCACACTGCAAGGGGTTTCACATCAGGCAAGAGCCTTCAGGTCTCCTTATAAAGGAAAGGATTCTTCATTTTCTCATACAAGCAACTCTCCATTATTTAGTGACCAGAAAAACAAGTTGTGGATTATGTGTGTGTCTTGCTTTTCATTACTTCCTTCATTGTCCAACTTGTCATTTCTTGTTACTAACCTAGCCTACATATACACTTGGGCTTGAAATGATTAAGAAGGAAAATTCCAAGCTGACAGCCAAGGAGAAAGTCTGGTAAAGATACTCAGAAAATGTAAGTGTTTGGGGGTTTTTACCCCACTGCAGAGATTTTTCTTTTGCCCAGGCCTACTTACCCTAAGATCTCTTCCAACAAAAGACTCAGCAACAGACTTAACAGTCCCTCATGCTGCTGCTACTGTACTGCTGTGGCAAGCATTTGTATCTAGAGGAGAGTAAACTTCAAATCCAGAATGGCAGAGATACGGCAAGAACAAGCTCAGCAAAATAGTGGCAAGAACTGGGGAGGGAGATCTGGTAAAAATTCTAAACTCGAGTCTGAACTGGGGATGATCAGCAGAGATTCAGAAGTTTTTCAGGTTCTGATATGAGAATATGCCTGTCAGGAGTACTGAATTTTCCTCCCTTGTAGCTGAACTACACCCAAAACCCCAGCTGCAGCTCCTGTCTCCCCAAGTGACACCCACCCTCACTACCGAGGCCGCAGAGGTCCCCCT